AAAGTATTATCAGTCAATTGCAAGACACTGCAAAGCGCTTTCGAGAATAAAGTTCATCAGAGTCCAGTGATCAAGATAATGGAATATGATGATTTGTAGGCAATTTCGGTTTAGCGATGGGACTATAATGGTAACAAGTCTCGAAATCTTTACTGCCCAAGCTTCTTATGCATAGGGTCTGATGCATACGGAATATCTCTATATCTGATATGATGGTGTCATTTTAACGTGTAAGTATTCGTACATAAAATTTTGATTCACTTCAGTGTCAGATCAACTTTACAAACTTCCTTTACTATTTCATGTTTGCCATTACTTAATTTATTCTTAAAACTGCAGGTGGCTACAAAAATGTTTGTGGATCTGATCTCAGCTTTCCCACTCCGGTGAGCCCTCATCTTAAAAACATGTACCACGCCAAAAACTAGAACTCTTCGCCGGAGGCAATACTGTGACAGCAGTGGGACACGAAGGGCAGCTTGTCGGCCGTTTGTTCGAAAGCCGAGTCCGACTAAGCTCCTTACGCTTGGAAGTAAATAATCCGCTTCATGATTAAACGGATTGCCTCTCATAACTCAGAGACCAGAAGTTGCTGCGCTGTTATGTCCCTCATTTGTCAGCGGTCGTAATGTTGGATTCGCCAGGGATCCGTTACAACAAAAAAATATTGTTTTTAGGTGTCTGTTAACATCCCAACTCCATTTTATTAAAATCATATTGGAAAGAATTCTGCGAGATATATTGCAAAGCAGACGCCAATCGCCGCCGCCTGCAAGGTCACAATTGATAAAGATGACACTTGGAGTGCCACTCGCCGTCGTCACTTTGCTTCTCTTGAGACGAGCAGCAACAGCAGCGTGAAGCGCGTCTGAGCCTCTTTCTGGCACAGCCTGTCAACTGGGAGAAAGAATAAGCGAGTGTCACTATTTCCCGCTTGTCTCTCCGCGATGCTAAATCTGGGCGCCATTAATCGATCGCTCGGTGCTTCAGCGCGAGAGCAATAGAGTGGTTAACCAGTTCTGATCCTTTATTTGCGCTTAACGACCATAAAAAGGATTGGCATCCGGCTAATATTTGTGGGCTTTTGATTATATTCCCATGTATTTCGCTTATTTATACTATATAGCTCTATTTTAGTAGAACGTGAAATAGCTCCCGTCCGGGAATCTCCACTGTCCGTATTATTGTCTTTGTGTTGACCTTAAATCCAGCCATCCTGCGTTCATATCACACTGAGTAACCTTAGTCCCCGTGTAGAAGACAGGTTTTGATTGAGGTACACATTAGTACCTCCCTTGGCCAGTATGAACATATAATAAAAAACTGTCCTAATATATCTTTTTACACTGAAATTGTTTCTGTGTACATGCATGCATAATGCAAATACGACAACAATTATAATGGCAATTGCCACAGACATGGATATATATTTGGAATAATTAGAAAGAAATATGAAAGGAATGTTCATAATTCTGCACACATACACATGCATCCAAACACATATACGCATATATTTACATGTATGCAGTCTTGTACAGTATGTATGTACAGACACACTCAGACATCCACCCACATATAGCCGCATTCTATTTCAACAAATTTCTGGGTTACCATAACAACGGCTCGCCCAGCAGAGATATCACGTTTCCCGTTACAGCAAGCAACGTGAAACCCAGATTCTCCGTTTGAACTCTAAACGAATTTCTTATGCAAATACTAGTCGTGCAGCTCGATCGCATCTGACTGCGCGCTCAAATGTATGACATGAGCGTGGAGTGAAGAAATAGGTGGTGAATAATGATTATGCGTGTGCTCGTATTTTTATTTGCACGTTGGCTGTACTGCGTATGGTGAGTGTTTTGGAGCATAGCCTTAGCATGCAAGGGTTTAACAGCCAACGACGCTTGCGTGCAAACATTTTTATATTTATGCATGTGAAGTTCAACGTGAGTATGTGTGGCTCAATAGCGAAAGAGTCCTGGATTGCGAAAGCCCCGAGTCAGGCGCCCCGGCTGGAAGAGTCTGGTCTCCAGCGCTACCAGATCGTGTCAAATTGGATCTCTGATCGCGAGGAGGATGCGGGGAGGCTGGGAGGACAGAGATAAATAATGTAGAAGATACCATCATGTGATTGGCTGCTCGTACATGGAAGAGCTGAGAAGGAAGTGCCGGTCTCAAATGCGACGTGTGTGTGTGTGTGTGTGTGTGTGTGTGTGTGTATACATACATACATACATACATACATACATACATATATATATATATTATATATTATTTATATATATATATTATTACATAACGGCAAAATTAATCAATGATTAATTAGTAAAAGGGCTAACTCACTGTAAGCTACTGTAACGAGGCAGTTCTTGCCTTAGCGATCGTACCCCCCCCCCACTGTAAATATAACTGTAAACATAAATTGTAAATATCGAGTTTACGTATTTTTCCACTTCAACATAAATAATTTTAAAGTTACTGAATAATCATTAATAATGAA